CCGGTCTGGGAAGCCTGAGACCCATTCTCGGCTATCTCATCGTGCGAATCGTTTGATCGCATGCAAAAGTGGCGCTGGTGGGCCCCCCCCCGTTTTGAGGATGTGGTCACTTTCCTCCTCCTCCTCCTCCTCCTTCTCCTCCTTCCCCTCCTCCTCCTTCTCCTCCTCCTCCTCCCCCCCCCATCCGCCAACTCCGCGATCTCGGCCATCAGGTTGAAGCGAGGAGGCTGGAGGCATTCTCTCGTGCCTGTTTGCTCCGTGCCGCCATGAACTCGCCCAAGTTTCACGAGTTGAAAAATATGTTGCAGAAGTTTGCCTCGTCTGATGAAGTCAATATCACGTGGAAGTTCACTGCTCTAGCTGGTGAATCTCTGTTCTTCAGGATGTGGCAGGCGTATGGCGCCGTCCTCCACATCCATGCGTTTCCAGAATGCCCAAGGAGGAGAGCACAGGCCAGGATTATGAAACTTGTGAATTCTGATCGCCAGTGTGATGTCCCCGCGGCCCAGGTTGACATTTTTCCCCGGCTTGCCAAATCGATCCCTGATGTTTCGAGGGCCGATGTGTTCCTCACTTTAGTTCGAATTAATGTTGCTGGTGCCCGTCCCCCTGGATTTGTCCTCACGGCTTGCCTAAAAACGCTCTTTAGTGGGTGGAACACCACAAGGAGATGCAGACAGTCCGCTCAGGTATGTGGTTTCAGCAGAACAAGCAGTGGGCGGAGATGATGTGCTGCATTATCCGACGTGCCCTATTCTTACTGAGTGTATTCGTGGAGGTCTTCCGTGGCTTCCCTCTGAGTGGGAATGAACATCTGAGCCCCATATTGCCTCATATGTTTTCTGCTTCCTCTCGTGAGTCCTTCTTATCTCATTTTGCTGCGGTAGACTTACTCCATAATGTTCCTCAGGTTTGTCGGGCTTTCCCCTCTGCATGTATTTCACCCGCCTGCACCCACCCCCGGGTCAAAACCAGGTTGAGGGTCGGAGCTAGACGAAGTAAATCAAGTCGAGCACTCAGCCAAGGTGCCAGAATTGAGTGATCGTCTCTTTGTTTGTTCGTTCCTGTCCTGGCCCTGTCTGTTGCCGCCCTGGGGAGGGTGGGTTACGGCAGTGGCTTGGGTCGGGTCGGCCAGGCCATTTCTTTTCTCTCGGCCAGTGGTACTCCTCCTCCTCGTCCTCCTCCTCCTCCTCCTCCTCCTCCTCCTCCTCCTCCTCCTCCTCCTCCTCCTCCTCCTCCCCCCCCCCTCTTCCTCACCCCCCTCCCTCAAGCCACTTGGGCCCAGGCCATGTTGGCAGGGGCCCAAGCCTTGACCCCGCCGCGAGGGGGCTCGAGGAGCAAGTCGTCGCCCGCTGCGCCCGAGACAGGCTCGGCATATTCGGTGGTAGATCGGCTCGGCAAAGTCGAGGATGTCGGCAGCAGGTTCAGACGAATCATGGAGCAAGTGCGGGGCCCGCGGGCGATGCGAGTACAGCGCGCTTGTAGTCGAACGAGGTCGGTGGTGCAAGTGCGGCAGGCAAGTGGAACTCTTCACGCCGAAGAAGCCCGCCAGCGCAGACGCCGCGCGGTCCAGCGAGTTGAGGAATGTAGGGGGAGGCAAGGACAAAAGGGGCAGCGGCGCCAGCAACAGCCACAGCCCCCAGTCCAGCCGACCGCCTTGAGCTCATGCGGAGCACGCTGGCATCGACAGAGGATCCCTTGCTGAAGAAGCTGCTGAGCGACGAGATCGCCAAGCTCCAGGCGCCCCAGGCCAAGCCCCCTTCAGAGCCAGGAGAAGGCGCTACGGCACGCCTGAGGAGCGTGGAGGGACGCGTCGCTCAAGCGCGACAAGGCGACCAATGCAGTGGTCAAGGCGCAGGACAGCCTCGCCAAGGCCCAGCAGAGAGAGCGCGAGGCGGCCCTGGTCCTGGCCAAGGCTGAGACAACCAGGCGCCAGGCGGCGCGGGGCATGGCCGCGGAGATGGGCCTCCTGGGCAGCAACGAGACGTCGAAGGAGTAAGTGAAGGAGGTGTTTTCCGAGGTGAAGATCGACGAGGGGTTCTTCAAGTCGGTCGATTCCCTGGACATCGAGGACACCGGCAGGCAGGCGCTGGAGCAGCTGGAGCAGGAGCTGCGCAGCGCGCAGTTCCTCATAGAGGGCAAGCACTCGGAGGTCAAGTCCTGGAACGAGAGGATGACGGCCCTGCGGGCTAAGATCGACGAGCGACTCAGCAAGAAGAGGCGGCAGGACGGCGACGACGCAGCTGCGGGCGGCGGAGGCGCCGCGGGCGGCAGCGGCGGCGTCGCCGCAGGCGCCTCAGGCGCGAGCGGCGGCCCCGCGGCCCCAGCGGCAGGGGCGGCAGCGGCAGCGCCTGGCGCCGCCAAGGCCGACGCCGCCGCCGCCGAGGCGCAGCGCACGCAGGAGGGTGCCGACCGCATCAGCGCGGCCAAGCTCGCGGCGGCAGCTGGCGCCGAGCAGCAGAAGTGAAAGCAGCTGCCGCCCTCCCCTCCCTCGCCGAGTCCGTCGACTGGCACGTCGCGGAGGACGAGGGCGGCGCAGCGAGGCAGCTCGGATGCCGCCTCTGACGCAGATAATTCAGATTCAGTCCGCATTTTCTTTTTCGCCAGCGCGACATGCATTGGCAAGCGGGCCTGGGACTACGTGGTAGAGCAGCCATGCCACTACATGGGCCTGGTCGAGACTCGCGTGGACGCCTCAGGTTTCGCCGAGTGGGGCGGTAAGGCCAAGGGGGCGAAGCTGCGCTTGCTGGCCAACCCTGCCGGGCCCTCTGGGCGAGGCGGGCCTTCCTCGAGCCAGGCCCATCGGGCCAACGAGGGAGGAGAGTGGCTTCTGGCGCAGGGGCACGGCAGTGTGAAGAGTTTAGCGGAGTCGTGGCGCGCGTTGAGGGCAGACGGCCGCGAAACTTTGGATGGGATCCAGGCTTCATTGATAGATATGCGCGGTTTTTCCTTCGTGCCAGTCTGTTTCTACGGATTTGCCAGTGGGGGTTGGTACGGGAAAAACCTCCAACGACTTCGTACGCTCGGGGCCCTCTTGTCTAGCCTCCAGCTGCCCTGGGAAGTTCTCGCAGATTGGAACATGCCAGCATCCAGTTTAGAGACCCGCGGTTTTCTGGCCAATGTCCAGGGCCATGTCTGGAGGGCTTCGAATGTTGAGGTGGCGTGCGCTGCAGGTGCCAGAGGCTCGGAGATATGTTATGCCGTGGCGAGCTCGAGTTTTGTACCGCATGTCTTGTCTTTAGAAGTCATGGTAGACGTGCCGTGGCAAACGCTCTGCGGCTTGCTACTGCGTTTCAGCGGAGCCGCCACGCAGCTTCCCACACGCCCTTGGCATTTGCCGGCCAAGCTTCCGCAGTCCCAGCGCCCCACCCCCCTCTCTTCGCCTGGGTACAAGTCCTCCAAGGCCAAACAAAGCGCAGCGTCTGGAAGCCCAGGGGGCCGCTCGAGCCCGTTGCGCTGTGGAGGCCGATCTTCTCTTCGGGGACGGCATGGACGAGCCAAGGGATAACTCCCAGGGTCCCGTTTCACCGAACCAGGGAAGGTGCACATATGATTCAGACCCAGATTAAAATCAAGATGCCGAGTTAGATTTCGATGCTGGAGCCTGGGATGACGAGGAGGAGGGTCCGTGGGCTCACGAGGGGGATTCTGGCGCCTGTGACGGGACTCCTGTCTCTGGCGGCGTGAACTCTGGAGCCAGCGGGGTCGGGTGCACGGCCGGAGCCCCCTCGTCGAGCCCCAGGGCCTCCCCGAGTCCCCCGCGCGGGCCGCGGCAGGCCTCGCAGGGCAAGCGCCTGGGCTTCAGCGGCCGCTGTTGGCTTGGGGCAGCACTTGTCGCCGGGCACGGTGCCCATCTCTTCCGCACCCACTTCGGGCATCCTCCTCCTCCACATCCTCCCCCTCCTCCTCCTCCTCCTCCTCCTTTTTCTCCTTTTTCTCCTTTTTCTCCTCCTCCTCCTCCTCCTCCTCCTCCTCCTTCTCCTCCTCCTCCTCCTCCTCCTCCTCCTCCTCCTCCTCCTCCTCCTCCTCTCCCTCGGTGGCCGGTCGGCGGCGCCTCGTGGGCGGCCCACGTGCCGGGCAGGCCGCGCGGCTCGCTAAAACGATGCGAAGATCGGGACAAAATCGGATCGGGATAACTCGAAATCTCTGAGAATCGGCGGGTTTGGAGGATGTATTGGGCGCCGCGGCTGCTCTCAGAGCGTTCCCGAACGCTCTGAGAGCGCTCCGGAACGCTCTGGAGCGATTTATCCCGATCCTAGCCCTGTTCTACTCGCACCTCTGCACGGCTGGCGCTGCGCAGGCTTCTCCACGCGGCTCGCATCTCCCTGTCATCGCTCGGACGTGTGCATTTTTTCTCGACGAGAATCATCGAGGACCATCCTGGACCATCGCGCAAGAAAAACACACGCACGAAGCCGACAAAATTCACGGGAAATGGGCGTCCGAGCGATGGCAGGTCTCACGGTTTGCATCAGACAGCTTGCAGCGTGTTGGTTGAGCCACACTGGTCGCACCATCATCCATTTATAGATATACACACATCTAATCTACATGTATTGAGAGAGAGAGAGAGAGAGAGATTGCACCATCTGTCTTGCGCAGCTTGCACCACATGGGTTGCACCATGTAGAATGCACGGGGTATGTTGCACCACGTCTAACACATCCTGAGTGCAGTGCTCGGGCCACCGTTCAGGATCCGATTCCGTCGTCGTCGATCCTTCCGCTCCTCCTACTCCTGCTCCTACTCCTGCTCCTGCTGCTGCTCCTTATCCTATTCCTTCCTGATCCTCTTCTTGTTCATCCTGCTCGTCTACCACCTGCTCCTTTTCGCATTCTTCCCTCAATCAACACAGCTCCCCTTTTCTGGTTACGCCCTTGACGATGGGGTCAGTTTGGGGGTCCAGGTCCGCTAGGACATTCGTCGGCGGATCGAGAAGATCGGATCAATCGGAAGGGCTCGAGCGGACCCAGCTTGTCCCCCCTCCCGTCTTTATTCTCCTTCTCCTCCGCCCTTCCTCTTTCTCCCCCTTCCTCATCCAGCAGCTTCAAGTCTGGCGACGATCTGGCGAGCACGCCTCGTCCTTTAGGGCGTGCCTGGCCACCTGCGCATCAGGCGGCACCCGCGCAGCGGCTCCTGGGCACAATGCGCGTATTTCATGTGCCGAGGTGCGTGGCTCCACTTCCCGTCTTCCTTGTCCTCCCCTCCGTCCTTCCCCATTCTCCCCCTCCCTCATCCAGCAGCCTTTTGTCCGGCGACGATCTGGCGAGCACGCCTCGTCCTTTAGGGCGTGCCTGGACACCTGCGCATCAGGCGGCACCCGCGCAGCGGCTCCTGGAGGTGCGTGGCTCCACGCCGCCCACTCTCTCCCCCCCCCCCCTCCCCC